ACGAGCACCAGCTGCTCCGGCGCCAGGCCGCCGGATCGGCCAACGCGCTCAACTTCGGCCACTATTGCGCGGACGCCGCGGCCGCCGGCCTGGATAACGGCTCCATCAGGCGGTGCTACTCGTCGTCCGCGGGCGTGGACTGCCGGTTCGCGACCTCCGCGTCCTGCAATCAGAGCGCGTTCGTGCGCAGGATACTGCGCGACTCACCCCGGTCGCCACGGATTCTGATCACGCGCGCCATGTCCGAAGAGAACGAGTCGTCGTCGTACGCATCCGAACCGGAAACGCCGGTGCACAAGAACCTGATGGTGCACAAGCTGTCCTCGTCCACCGTCACGCTGTTCATCGACGATAACCGGAAGAACGGTGGTGGTGATGGCGGCAGTGCGACCGTCACATCCGGCTTGCTCCAGGACTACGAGGACGAAACGTCACCCGCCTACAGCAGCCTGTCCTCCAGCAACGATGACAGCAGCTGCGCCACACACGAGCTCACCCGGCTCACGCGGCTGTCCGCGTGATCCTACGATCCCTCCGATCCCGTTCCAACGAAACCACTCTCTGTCCGTTACCCCATCCTGCGTACGATATTTCATCGGTACGTTATATGCGGTCGGTCGACGCCGAACCGTTCGAGGGATCAAAGGTAATCATTTGGTTCGTTTCTGTTTTTTTTTACTTTTATTTATTTATTTATTTATTTTTTAATCGTTACCGCGCATTATTTATTTTTTCTCGCGCTCGTTTCGCATTTCCGTTTTGCGTCAAGCTCACCAACGAATTTCAATATGAATCCGTTTTAATTTTGTATACTCGATTCGTTTTTTTTTTTTTTACTTAATAGTTTTTAATGCGATCAAACGTTCGAATATCGTCTTTTACATTTTCTGATCTGCATACCATAGGATATCGCAAAATGTGTAACTATTATTCATGGACAGTTCATGTGAGATAATTATCTACAACATTACGTATTCTATAAGCATACTTTTCATAATTGTTATAAAACAAAAATTACGAGTGTGTAAATATATTATTATCTAGTCGAATGGCTATAATAGTGTGGCAATTCGCTTGTACAAACAGTGTAGATATTGGAAAGGGTATTTGCGATTGAATAATAATCGGGTATGGTAATAGAACAGAAACATAACTAAAATACACCAGTTAGGATAGACGTTTATTGTACTTCGGTATTCCTTAATAACGACAACAATTATTTTCTAGATTAGTTCAGGAATAATAATTTTAATGTTATTGACGTTTGTTGCACCTGGATGAGTGAAATTAAAGTAGTTATAGAGTTCAAAGATGAATGCAATTGATCTTTTTTCAACATAGTTTCACAGTTCGTAAAATAAGTTAAATTAGAAACTTTATTTAATGTTAAACAAGAATTATAATTATTTTAGACCCATTTTATGTACACTTACACCTTATTTTAATTTCCGATTTAAATTTGTATTGATGAATATTTTTTCAAACCCAAAGTTATTTAATAATCACCATAAAAAAAAAAAAAAAAAAAAATGCTTGAAACTTTAAAACTACTTCAGATGATCATTAGTATACATTTATAAGTAGAATTTAGTTAAGATTATTGTATTAGGCACAGTTCTATAGCATACAATAAATTAACATGCAACGTAATGTTAATTCTTCTATAAACGGTTGCTGTAAAAAATATAGTTTACATGTTTTAATTAATATTCTTACGTGTAACTATAAAATTTTAGATACTTACAATTAAGATTGAACATGATCGGTAATTTTAATTAATTTTAATTGTAATCGATTAATGATTAATAAAATGATGAATAATATGTTATCTTTTTTAAAAACTGTTTTGATGGAATTTAGATTGATAAGAAATTGAGATCACTCGTTGTTTTGAATTGTATAATTATTCTGAAACAATATCATATTATTGATAAAAAAAAAAACTTATAGCTTGTTTACATTTTTCTTCTTAACGTTTACCTCCTTATAAAAATATGGTACTTTAGTTTTATACAACTATTGTATTAAATATAATCATAATTTTTTGCATCACGTAGTATCGACACGTATAAGAACGATAATAATAATAACAAATACATTCTAGTCATTATATTATACTTAAGATTATAACTGATGTTGGCAATTATTTTTCATTAGTCTTAATATCCCTGAATTAGTTGTTCGTCACGATACAACGAGTGGAAATATATGTGTACATATTATATAACTTATACATATATATAATACATCATGTTACGGGTAAATGTTGAAACCATTTGGGTAACCGTTTGGGTTAGTTCACGCAATTCCTTTGAATGAAAAAAATATCAAGTAACCACTGGAAAATTAGTAAATAATCTAATTTAAATGATGATGGAAAATGTATTTTTTTTTTTTTTTTAATACTCTTGCTAGCTTTCCTAAAGTACCATTATGAATAATAATATACTACTGCCCTTTGTTCCTTCAACTATGTTCTCTTATAAGAACCGATTCCAATTTCGGTTACTCGAGTCTTGGGGGTATTAGCTTCTCCGTTAAATATTTCAGCAAACACGTCAAATACGGTAGTAGTTGGGCAACTGTACCTACTCGTTTGATGATTTATTATGCGTATGATAAACGAATCACGTAAACCAATTATGTCACTTCTGCGCCTCTGGTACGGAAACGAAATCATTAACCCTTGAATGCATCTAATTTATTTCAAATAATTTGGACACATTGATACCGTTGAACAATGATTTTCAGATAGATACAAGTATTTTAATGTTGCAGTTTGCAATTTGCAACAGATTTAGTGTAGTTTATTATTTACAGGTAAGCTTAACTGTGTATTTTCGTAATATATATCACATATTATATTTTCTGTCATTTTTTTCAAACTTTCCTACCAAGCGTGGAATTAATGTTAAATAATGCGCGATTTACCCAACTTCTACGTTTATCCGTAACAAAAATATTTATTTTAAGATCTTTTTTAAGATTTTTAATTTAAATTAAATTAATTTTAATTAAGAATTTTTTTTTCAATTTTTTCAATCGAATTTGAAGTATTTCTGTTTTATATAAGATTTATTTTTATTGTTTTTTATCAAACAGATTTTTAATTTTATACTTTTTAAAAAAAAAAATGTCGTTTTAATAATAAAAATAAATCATCTTACATACGTCTGTTTACATTTTAAAAGACTTAATGATAATTTTTATTGTACGAATGTTTAAAGTTTAAATGCATTACAAGCTTTTTTTTTTTTGTTATGAGGTTTACATTCGGAGCTCATTTGAGCTAGGGCACATTTATAAAAGAATTTACTTTAATTACAAGAACTATCTGTTTTAGAAATAATCGATTGTAGAAATGATTTCATGTACCGGAAAATATTTTTTTTATACATTTGAAATTCCTTTTAAAGTCGACAGCTATTTTTTTAATAACATTCTACAAGCATAAGAATCATCTAAATTGTTATAAAATCTGTACGATAAAAAAATAATAAAATATTTTTATTACATATATATACACAAGTATTCGAGATTTTGTTTGAAAAAATTATTAAATTCGAGCAACAAAAAATAAACGTAACTTACATAACACATAAAATTGATTATTTTTGCCGTTTATACATTAAGTACCTTTATCTACTAAATATATATATATTTAATATCGTATCTATTACATAGACTGTATTTTTGAGATAATTTTGAACGAAATTTATGTGTATATACAGACTTGAGTTATACATTTTAAAAACTGCTGTATAATATAATACAATGAATTGTGTGCCCAACCGAATACTGTAAACATTTAACAACCCTTTATCGTCAATATACTATTCGCTTTGACTTAGTGTCAATAATATTTATTTTCTATTTTACAAACAATTGTTCGTTATTAACACAACATCTTGGTTCGCGATATAGTAATATTTCAAGTATAATAAGATCGTCGTACATGATAATATGAGGTTAATTTTCAATATGAATATATTTCGCCGAATGCACTATGTTGGTGGATTTACACTGTAATTTTTATTTTTATTATTATTATTATTATTGTTGTATTTTTATTTTATTTTTTGTGTGCAGCTCGGACAAAACATACAATTTGTATTTTTTCCCCTGTATTTTTAAGATATTATTATAAGATGTTGTTATAACTTTAGATTAATACTGAAACGCTTTTAATGAATGTACCATATGAAAAGTTACCATGTAAAAATATAATTTATTGTGTTAGTTAAATATAAAATATAAATCACCAATATTATCAACGTATCAATTTGTATGAATTACATTCAACCCAAAAATAACTGGGATTCGTATTTTGTCATCCTGTTATTTTTTTATGCTACTATTCCTATACCTTTTCGTAAAAATAATCTTTTGAATTGTATTAATATTTATCGTCGAAATTAGAAAAAAATAAAAGGTAAATTGATACCCCTGATAAACGGAAACCACGTCAACAAGAATCTAAATAAATATTATTCTTATGTAGTATAGATTAACATGTACACATAGTTTTAATAAGATAGATAAAATGGCCTAATTTGACAATACTTTTCTGTCTTCGCATTTCTTGATCTCTATCGTCATACTTTTTTCTGAATTCATCACTATCATCTATTCAAGACACTAAGTCGTCACCTCTACACGACACCTTGAAGTAAATCGTTATAATCTCCTATTTTATCTTCACAAATTATCACTAAGCTCCTTTATACGTCGTATCACTTTATCAACAGTAAGCCATTTGTGACTTTAAACGCATCCCCTTTGATTAGTCTGCACTTTATAAAATAAGTCCTTTCTTATTTTCTTTAATTTAAAATGAAAAATCATTTCTAACTACCTTATCTACATCTGACGTTCATCCATTATTTCCATTGTATACCCCTTTGGTCTTTGATTTAAATACCATATCTCGATGAAAAAAAGAAAAAATAATTTAAAAAAATAAAATAAAAATAAGTTTAATTATATTTTATCTTTTTTGTTGATAAAAATATATAATGAAAAACTGTAAACATTTTTGAATTTAAAATGCAAAACAATAAATAAATATATTGAATATGCTAATCAAGCTTGGATTAAAAATTATTTAATTATAATACTAAATCAAATTCCCTTTAAGTAGGTATGTAATATTTAACATAGTATGTTTATAAATATATACAAAATGTAAGCACTTTAATGTATACAATCACATGAATCGAGAATTGATGAAACCAAAAAAAAAGGATAATTATTAGGAGGGTTCATAATTGAATGTTTAAATCATACCAGCAACAAAAAAAAATATATATATTATTCACTATATCGATGGATATAGAATAATGGTAAACGTATAGAAATTGGTAACTATATATTGCTAATACAAAATTAATTTAGTAGACATGAAACGTACCTAACTCACATCAATACAACAATAAATAATAAATTAGCCCTTTGACTCAACGATATAAATAAATAATGATGTGACAAATACATAAAATAATGTAGAACAATTGTAAAAACTCGAATGGACTGAAGTGCAAACTACTTACCTATTTATAAATAACAAGATCTCACATAAATTATGTTATATAAAAATAAAATTCAAAAATAATTTTAAAAATAATCGTGGAGATTTTCGCACACGTGTAAAAATAAAAAAATTGGTCTTTGACTACTAATATTGCAAATTAAAATAAATAATAGTTTATCTTATAGCAGCAAAAATGCGAATATAATAATAATAAAAAGTTGAGCTATGGTTTCACACCTACAAAAATAGACTTCTAAGTCGAGTGAGATTCCACTGTCAGACCAGACACATCAGTGGTGTCCAACCCGCGACGCGCGAAAGTATTTTATGTGGCTTATGTATTTTATTATTAAAAACATTTTAAAATAGAACAAAATATTTAAAAGAAGTAAAATTATTAAAAAATACGATTTTCTATTAATTTATAAATTTTATCTTTCGACGTTTTCAATTAGAAATTTCACAATTCAATATCGGAATGACCCGGGTACTCAAAAGAGCATACCGATAAAATTAATGTGTACTTGAATCGTGTCCCTCAATCTCTTATCTTTTCAATAATCAATAAAATATATTAAAACAAGTACAATATGTACCTATATGTATGTTATATACCTGTTATGTATAACAAAATTATATTATTAGATTAATATTGACATTATTCGTATTTTTATGTTTGGTGGCCCGCCGAGGAAGAAATATTGGGCATCACTGAGATAAAGGTACGAGTAAGTGGCGCAACAATCAGGATGGATGGTGATGTCTAACATTGGGGCACCATGACTCAAAAAAAGCCCTATAATAGGCCTAAGCTTGAAGGGAATTTTCAAAGCGAATGAATTGAGTAATAAGTAGTTAGTATTGAAAAAAAAATTTACTATAGTTAAATAGTTATAGGGTTCCAAGATTACCTTATAATGGGAGCCCTACAGTTCTAATTGCGCCATTGGAATAGGTGAATGATGTTGCTGTATCACTACTTTCGAACAAATGACTTTGAGCGAAATAGGTCGGGTATATAATGACGTAAATCATTCGAGATTTTCACATTTTAGAAATTAATGAATAATTGCTTTTTTAGAAAACAAATCAAATAAGAAGTTCCAAATCTAATGTTACATCATTGTCATCATAAATAGGTCAAACCTCGGATGAGATTACCTTTAGTCATCAAAAAACTATTCTACTATGTTCTTTCACATAACACGTCCACTAAACCTTCAAGGAACTCTTTATTTCGTGATTGCATATACACCGACTATCACCCATCCCGTTTTTTAACCGTTTAAATTAAGAAGCTCTAAGCTCTATCTTCAGTATGTTCACACAGACTTTAGTGCAACGCAATTACAATTTCTGTACACAGATTCTGTATTAGAGAAAAAGTATTCAGTATTGGCTCATCAAATCCTGTATTGGTTTCACTTCATTTCAACCTCACGCTATTCTTGTAATAGTCATAAGTGTCCGATAACCGAAAACCGAAAACCGACGACGAACCAAGTAAGTACTATTTTATTTTGCTTCCAAAACTACTCTGTTGCACTAATCTATTCTTGAAAATTTTGAATTCTGAATGTTAAACTTCTTTAAATAAAAATAAAAGTAAATAACTCACATCATATTCCATCAAAATCATTCTATACATATTTCACTCCAGTACATCACCATCAACACTTTTTTTTTACTTTTTTTTAATTTAAAGATATTACAGGTAGAACAGTTTATATAGTATGAAAATCAAATTTTTTAATAACGTAAGTTGAATCTAACAAAGCACCTACAATTTTGAAAAAAAACAAAAATTTTAAGTGTTCATAAGCAATATAAACTTCATTAAGATAAATTTAAATTATGAAATATCTTTAACTAAACATCTAATATTGTTTAATGAAAATTTGTTGAAATATCTTATTTTGTTAACATTTCATTTTGCAAAGCTTATAACTCATTTTTGTAAATCTTCAGTATCTTAATTTTTTTTTTTTTTTTTTTACTGCAAAGAAAAGTATATAAAATATAACTTATACAATTTTCAAACCTTGAGTATAAAAATTTAAAAATTTATGAATTCTTGGTTACAAAGATTTTCGTGATTTATATCGTTTTGTCAAAATTTAACTATCAGTTATCGTATTTTTTTTATTTTTTTTTTTTTATACTGTAGTATTTATGTATAATGAACTTTTTATTAAATCAAAATTATACCATCAATATTTTTAAAAGAATTTAAAAATTTAATTTTGTCGAAAGCCGTTTTGCTGTAAATTTTGCATTTATCTATTTTTAACTTTTTGAAAGATACAGAAAAGATTAGTATGACCTCTGCATAAGGATGACACGCAAAAACGTTCCACACTTTAACTATATCTAATTTCTACAAAACTACAACAACCCACACTATTTACACTTATCTCCATGGACACTTCCATGGTTAGATACCTCTTTAACTAATATTAATTATTATGCTCTGAAGGATTCTATCAATGGATAGTCTGTCTCATCAAGTTACTCTACTACTGTAAATATTTATTTTTGTACAAAGTCCTCATATTTACTTATTGTATTTTTTTCTTTCAAATACTGATTGTAAGTTGTCTAAAATAAGAGAAAAAAATGTTTTCATCAGTTTTTTACTAAGAAAACTATTGGGAAATTCATAAAATAACTCCTTTCAAAGTACCAACTAGACAACATTTTTTATCAGAAATCTTTTAAGATTTTGATGACAGAGCTGACCTTCCGATCGTTTACACGGATAAAAAAAAATTAAATAAAAAGAATATCTTGGTAAAATCAATATATTCCTCGTTTCACTCAGAACCCAAAAATCTATAATAATAAAAATGTGACGATTTGCATTTTGGAAAAATGTTTAAAAACTCACAGCGTTACGTGTACCCACAGAGAAATAAAAATTCACTCGCGCTAGGTCTTGAGTTGATGATGATTATTATTAATATATAATGTATAATAGTAATAATATTATAATAATATAACTTTTCGATTCAATCCGGCTATAACGTTACAATATGACCTCATGCTCAGTATGTCCATAGCTCTGTTATCAGTTTTGGGGTTTTTTATTTTATATTTTACCTTTATATTTAAACGTTAGAATAACGAAAATCAGTTTTGTTAATTACGTGAATTAATTGTGGTAGTTTCGGTTTCCACTTGAATATGGGTCGCAAAGACTTCGTCGACTAATTTAAATAATAACGTGCAACAAACCGGTAATAGTTCGCCTCGTTTGCCAATGTCTTCAAAGCGAATATTATCTAATACATAAGTTTCGCCACGTCATGAAAGTGAAAAGACCAAAACATTTAATTCGCCAAACCGTCTCGTCGTTTTCGCTCCAGGCAACACCAACAACATCGTATTTCCCGTATACACTCACAAGCGACGTAATAAATCAACCTTTGAGCAAAGGGTTGTACCACTGGCTCCGTCTATACAAATAGAGGCATGACAAATTTCTTCGCGTTCAATGACGTTCTAAACAAAATCATCTCAGTAATATTATACGTGATGTATGTGTGTCAACAAACTAAATATATGTACGTAGTCACGTCGCGGTCACAAAGAGATCCGAATTCGTGATATACCAAACAAATTGCTTATAGGAAAATTTGTTCGTGATATAATTATTTTAAGCTGGTCGACTTTCTTACGTCTATGTTTCCACATTAAATATTTGGATACGCTTTGTTGATTTACTGCACTGTCAAATCTCAAAAAATGTGAGGTAACAGGGAACGTCTATTGATTTCTGTGGAAATGGTATAAGGATTTCGAAAAAAAACCCGAATCCAGCACGATGAACATCGATCTGTGAATGTTTTTCAAATTCTTTGTCACGCAATGAAATCGGTTTTCGGGCAATGATACGTCTAAGCCGTTATACTTTTGGCACGTAATTAAAATCAAATCCGTTTAAAGGTAGTTCGTGGTGAGTATATAATACTCGTGCACATGATTTACACATTTTATTGATTGGGTCGAAAAAAAAAATCTAACACGCGGGGGATGCTTTCGATCAATACCGAAACGAGAGAATGACGAAAAATATTTATTGTCAGGTTATGTTAATTCACGCGTCTTATTGAATATTCAATCAGTCCGTGCGTGGCACCCAAGCTCTCAGGCCGAGTTACTCCGACCCTGATCGAAAACGCCGCCACGCCCCGTTATGATTGACAAGTGAAAAATAAGTATACATCTACACAAACGATGACAAACGTCGAGATTTATTTCATTTCAATTATTATTTTTTTATCCCTCCCCTTCCTCCGCATCACGTTAATTATATATATATATATATATATATATATACCCACCACGACGTAGCCGATGTATGTATATTTTTTTTATTTTTTTTTTCATTCATCCCTTCCAATACCACCACAAGTCACGTCATCCGTATCGATATGTATATAAATATATTTACGTGCACACGTGTGTCGTTATACTATCGTATTTTTATTTTGCTCGTGCGGCCCTCGCCCGGTCGAATTCGCATCTTTTCACTACGGAAAATTTTATTACAAAACGGCCTTTGACACCGTAATCCACCGAATATCTTACGCGTATATACCCACCAAATCACCCGACGTCAATCAATTCCGCACTGCATGTGCACGCTACTGAACTACAACGCGGTGTACAGTATACCCCCGAGGGCATATACCTTACATTATATATTTATAATACAGGTTGTGTATAACACACGCACACATATGTATGTACACTCGTACCACGATAAATCCGATAATCGACAAACACGAAGAAACGTAATAAGCGTGTGTGGGGTCGTTGCAGTTCCATATGTGACAGCTAATTACTTCTCGCTAAAACGGTTGAAAAAAAAATAACATATGTTTAACGACATTATGAATTATAAAAACGCAATGAATAAAAAAAATCGAAAATGCGTTCCGAAACTTATAAAACATAAACAAAAACCTTAATAAATCATCACTCGGCAACATGATTGATGTATAGCATCTACACATATACACCAATGTATAAATATATATTCGTATCACCGCTATGTCGCGTCACGACAAAGCAATCCCAATTATTTATAATATTGAAGATTTAATGCGAGTTGAAGCTAGAATAACTGTCGGTCGATAACAAAGTGATACGAGACATGTACAAAGTCATTATATCGCGGTTAAAGAACCATCGTTTAAAAGTACTTTTCTTTCTAATCCCTATCTAACCCCATTTAAAACTGAAAGTACACTACTGGCTATCAAAATACTTCAAATTTTTGTTGCGTCAAATTAATTCAAAATTTATTGAACAATATATACCTACGTGAGAAATGCAATAGGTATTATAAAGTTCAATAAAGATTTATGCTCAGATTCTTGGTTACAAAAGACTTTTATGTGTAATTATACAACATTAGTGTTTGATATGATAAAAGGAAATATATATTATATAAACATATCATATAAAGTCCCCGAGGTGTACTTGGATACTCAGTCGTTACCCAAGTTCTGGAAATATGTATTTAGCGGTGAAAGACATATGCGCCAAAAGGAGATAAGATAAAAAAAATCATATCATATGAAAGTGCCAAAATCTTTAGTACCTGTGTACCAAAAAAGTGAAAAAAGTTAGATTAAAAAATCAACCAATTTATCATAACTATATTTATTTTAATTTATTTTTATGTATTTTATATCTTATCGATTATTGACAATCTTAAATATTTTTAAATATTTATACAAAATATATTAAATATTAATTTTTTCGTTAATGATATGTTCTTTTTGAATCTTTGGCGCTTATGTCATACAACCATACTTAGAAAAGTAATTTAGATAAGTTCAGAGATTAATTCAACTGTGTTTTATCAAATAAAAATGAACGCAATTAAAATGTCTATTATATTCAACGGAATAATATTAAATTAACTAGTACCTGCTTGTTCCATCCTACACACTACATTAATTATAAAAAATAAATTAAACATTTTGTTTCATCACAATTAAATACAACCAACGGAAAAATGCCTCTTTATAAATATACGTATTTCTTTTGATTTCTACGAAGACACGAAATATAATTAAATATTATTAAAATATATCGTATACTATTTAATCATTCTCGTAGTAAAATCTATTTTATGCAAATAATTGTTGTACCGTTAACTTTTTATTTATTTACTTATTATATATATATATATATATATATATAAACAAAAAAGTTACTGTGTCGAGTCGAATTATTGTTCAACTCAAAACTTTTTGAATATTTCGCTTGGCGCGTCCGGTATGTACATGAAGGGTCAATACCTTGCAAAATATACAGCGTGATAAACTGTCATCACTACATATATTTATCACGGAACGGTCGAACTACCTGTATGTTTGCGTTGATATCGATTTACATGGTCATTACTTGGTCCTTGGAGACGGTGGTTCAGAATATTTAAAAATAATAATAAAAATAACAGTTTACCCAGGTGACGGTTTTAAAATTTCGTTTCAAATATACAATAATTACAGTCTTCGGTTGTGTGAATACTACTCATAAATATATCAATTTAGAAACTTGCCGATTTATTTCAATTTAAGGATCGACCAAATTCAAGCAGACGGTCCAATTTGACCACGTCCTCGTATTATTTGTCATCGTTCAGTTCCCTAACTCCAGTTATGTACGGAACGGCTAATTAAATTACCGGGGATATGAGAAACAACGGTATGTCAAATTTTGTCCACGGGTCGCACTGCAATCAAATATCTATAGCTGTGAAACGGACTATAGTAAATATTAAGCTTAAATAATTTAGAAAAGGATAAATATATTGAAAACGATGTAGTAGCCCAGTGGTAATACAACTATCTCAATACAGCAAATATTAAAATTTCTCAAACCTCATGTCTCGTGGATATACTTTTTGTACTTTTTCTAACATACAGGTATTCAATAATATTATTTCATTAATTTGTAGTTGTGAGTGCAGTATGATTATTATTATGTTGATAGCACTATTATTTTCATAATCCTCATGAATATTTTTATTGTTATCACCACATTACTGTTAATTATTAGTTAATTTAATGCTTCGATCCTAGTAGACCTCTTTATTGTGTAATAAAATATTTATTTGAATACCTTATACTTTTGATCGAAACAGGTGATTCACTCACGCAGCGAGGTTTTAGGTTCACAAACAAATCATAATCCCATTCGCAACAATATCAAGGTTTATACAAAAACTTGCTTATTTGTCATGCCGGTTCAAGTAAATTTGGTTATATAAATGATTCTAAATTAGTATTAAGCTGAAAGCTAAGTCCTACACACCCAAATTATCAAATATAAATTAACGCCACTTTATTTAA